TATAGGTGGAAAGCTTCACTATTGTTTTTGAATAAAACTAAATAAAATGATTGACGAATTAGTATACTTTGTCATTAGTGTATTTTCTTATATCTCGTCCAATAATATAAATAAAAGAAAACTAACTCTAACTGTATTAGATGAAAAAATGACCATTACGATTAAGGTCGAACAAAATTAGAAGAACACTAACTCTATGTCTATTAGGTGGAAAACATGACTATTTCTATTAAGATGGAAAAAAAATCAAAGGAAAACTAACTCTGTCTCTACTAAGATGAAAAAAAACTAAAGAAACACTAATTTATCTCTATCGAATGAAAAAAATGATTATTTCTGTTAAAATTGAATAAAACCAAACGAATTTAAAAAAAAATGATTTTTTAAAATTAGTATCGAAAATAATCGAAAGGACATTAATTCTCTCTTTACTAGATAAAAGAAATGATTGTTTCTATTAAGATGTAATAAAGCTAAATGAGCAATACAATACAAATTATGGGAAAAGCTTGTTAAGTTCGTCAAAGAGAAGAATTGTTGAATATTCGTTTGCCGAACGACTCTGATTTTTTCTAGAAACCTTCTTATTGTTGGACATTGCTTGTTACTCTTTTTATTATTTTTGTCAGCATGTTGTAAAAAAGAGACTGTCATGATATCGATAGCTAAAAGCTCAACGTTGAAAACAGATGTTGATAAAAGAACTAAGAGTTATGATGATAATTTTTTATGCAGAAAACAATGAGACAAAAATTTAATATATTTGAGAACACTAACGAATCCATTTGGAGCTAATCAATATTCTTTCTCGATATAACAGGATAATTTTATGTGGGTTATGAAACGGACGAGAAAGTGTTCTGTATTTTTAAAACTGATTTTTGAATTCACGAGAAAGCATTCGACAATTAGGAGAACGACAGAGAACGCGTTCTTTTCTCCCTAAGAATGATGTCGACTTGTCTGGAACGTGTTCATCAGTTCGAAGAATATATTCTCAAGTATTTCTTGAGAGAAGGTCAAAGAAAGCATTCTCATTTTCATGGAATCCGATCCTGACCGTCCCAAAAATGAACTGTTCAGAAAGCTTTCTTTTCAGATGAAGAACGATTTTGAACCGGGAAGAAACCATCCTATAAAAACGTGGAACGACAAAGAATGCGTTCCTTCAGATGCATAACTCATTCTTGTCGCTCATGAACGCATTCGCCAAACTATAGAACGCGTTCTTCATGAGAAAGGTAACTTTCCATGTTTTGCTGAACGCGTTCACTTCCGTTTTTTTCCATGATTATTTTTCACTGGGATACTCTATCTAAAATCGTCACACTTTGTCTATGATGTCCGGACGCCCTCAGGGAATTTATCTACTATAGAACTAGATGTAGGTGCAGCATTAAAACATGCAGATAACTAATTAAATATATAAATATAATGATGTTCGAGTAATGAAACATCGATATTGATGTCTACCCAGGTCGATCGTTCCGGTCACCGGATACTGCAGGAACCGGCAGGAAAGACGCGGAAAGATCGCCGGTTCCTGCAGGAAAACACCGGAAATCAACGGAACATGGAAGCAGTATTCCGGCCGGAAATTTTTCGGACTTTTTCCGGCGGGATCCTGCCGGAAAGAACAGGAATTGGCTGGAATCCACCGGAAAAAAATCCGAAAAATTTCCGACCGGAATACTGCTTCCATGTTCCGTTGCTTTCCGGTGTTTTCCTGCCGGAACCGGCCGGTACTTTTCGACCTGGGTAGCTTAAACTACATCGGTACGAAATAATATGAATACATTAGCATTAATTTTACTTGTAATCTAAAAATAAGAATAATTTTCAATGTTTCTACGAATACAGCATGATAAATACTAATTAGATGTTTACTGTGTATTAGTGGCAATTAATTGATTTGAGAAGCACAAGAGCTGGATTTTATGATGTTTACTGAAATAAATTGAAAACTTTTATCATGATGCCTCGCTATCATCTAAATATTGGAATCAGAGTATTGATAAATATGGCGATATGTCTGATTGTAACAAAATACAGGCGTCAAAAGATAAAAATATCAAACTAGTAAGCAAATAAAAAGAAAGTAGATTCTAATATTGTGAGAATGTTTACTATTTCAAGACGAGATTTAAAGCTTAATTTTCGATTTTTTTCTAATAATGATGTCCTGTGACTTTTTTAGATTAACTTTTCAGATCTCAACTATTTGTGGAAGGTCTCGACAGAAGCGAGCAACATTTACTCTAGACTAAAAAGAAGTATATCACCCTACCGGAAAAGAGACCCAGTATTCATTATTCGATTATGTCTGATAATCAATTGACTAATAAAAATGATGACGATATTCAAATTTCGGTCGAAGCAACTGAAGAAACATTTGATATCTCAGTCGAAGCAACTGAAGAAACATTTGATACCTCAGTCGAAGCAACTGAAGAAACATTTGATACCTCAGTCGAAACAACTGATGCAACGTCTGATACTACAGCCTTGTCGCAAAACGAAACTCCAGAGCAAGTGCAACGACGAACATTTTCTCATTCACCACATTCTCCCGAATTCATTGATCAACTGTGTAAAGCTGGATTCTACTATTGCAATGTTCGTGATCGTGTTATATGTCTCAGTTGTGGTTTGGTCTGTGAACAATGGATATCACATGTTGATGACCCATGTGAAACTCATAGAATCCTTTCACCTAATTGTACATGTGTACAATCAAAATTAAAGCCCTCTGGACCATCACCACCGCCACCTGTGATAAATACCAATCTAAGCCCAACAGTAAATGTAGCCCCATTTTCCCAAAATATCTTACCTTCTCCCAACTCACTCCATCATCATGGAATAGTGCCCAAATCTTCCCAAAACCCTGAATATTCTGAAATACCTAAACGACTGAGTTCATTTGATAACTGGCCTAGTGAGAACTTACCATCAGTTGATGATCTTGTTCAAGCAGGATTTTTCTATACTGGTAAAAAAACCATTGTTACTTGTTTTTATTGTAATGGGTCATTCCAAAGCTTCGGTCCAAAGGATAACCCAATGATTGAACATGCACGTTGGTTTCCTCATTGTGCTTATGCTCGACAATTATGTGGTGATGATTTATATCGGAGAGTTCAGGAATCTCAACGTCCACGACAAGGTATTCTTAGAACGTTACAATTTATATTGGTCAGTTTGTTTACTTTATGTGTTTAGAAGGACCCAAAGCCAACGAATGGAGAGAGAATAATTCCGAAAGTAGATCCGATACGAATACTTTAACCAACAATCGTCTATTACTCATACCTAATGACGACATCTTATCTCGATTGGTTACTGCCCGATTAAATTTACCCATATCACAGAGATTAATCAATGAGAATTTCACATTACCAATCGTCAAACGATGTTGGGAAGATCAACTACGAATTAAGGGTAAAATATACGAACTTCGGTCAGATATGATTTATATTTGAAATTCTTTCAGAAGAAAATTTTGTCTCGAAAGATGATCTGATCATTGCTTGTAGAATTCTTCAGAAACAAATTGAATGTATCAATGGTAAGAAGGAAAATATTGTCATACCGAGTGTCATATTGAGACAAACCAGACAACGTGAAGGTATTGATGCCATTATATTAGTTCTCTTATTGCTTTTATTCTTCTTCGTAGAAGCACGCTCACGTGAAGCATTAGCTAAAGCATGGGCTTCAAAAAATGTCATTACATCGACATCTGTCAATACATCGAATTATCAATGTCACATAGAAGCAGCAGCAACAGGAACATCATCATCAAAATCTGTTCATCATGCAACACTACAGCCAACAGCAATTGCTACTGAGCCAGAAGGTTCACCAGACAATCCGATGCCATCCAATCTTTGTGTACTCTGTTTTACGGAAGAAAAACGATTGGCTTGTATACCTTGTGGTCATTTAGCCACATGTGTTCCATGCGGACATTTGTTGAGATTATGTCCTATCTGTCGATGTGATATTAAAGCCTTCGCTCGAATATATATCTAAATTAAATGAACACTATTTTAATCAAACCGTATATATTCTTACTGGTATAATGGATCTGTTGGACGAATATCAATACGGCCGAAGAAGCGTTGGATTTTGTCTTAATTTTGTAAATAATTCTTTTTCAATTTTGTTATTGTATTGTTTTTCATTAAATCAAGAGTCTTCACAAAAAATGATTTGCTTTTTATTTATGTGTGTATATGTATGTGTCTCTCAGGCACAAAATAATGACATAATGTAGTGATTTTAGAATCCGTTTCAAATGGGTGTGGGTGTGACTGTGGGTGAGTGGAGTGTGGATGTGGGTGTTAGAGACTCGACCCACACTGCCATATCGACTTCCACACCCACAGATCCTTGTAATTTTGTAAGGAGGGGAGGGGTGCTACAAAAATAATTCCAATTCAGTTATCAGATGATATCCAGCACTGTCGTATATCGACGAACATCGAACGTTCTAATGGAATCATAGAAACAGTTTTAAAAAAGAGAGAATGAACGTAACAGATAAAATTCCCAAAACTTACTCGATTTCTTGCCGTTTGGCTGCACCAAAAAGAACAAAATTCTGAATGGAAGCCTGGCTAGTGCTGATTGACTTCGGGTACTCGTGTTTACTATCTCCCTATTGCTGACCAAATGAATCGTATAAATTCCTCTTTTTCAAATAATTCCGGTGCTATAGCTACTTTATCATACATATTCAATCAATACCACCGAGAGTTAGTAAATGAAAGAAAATTAGAATCTGATAAAGTAAACAAAATTGTGTCTTAGAGGTTAATAAGGTAACAATAAAAACTTAACATATTTCATCTTATTAGCTAAATTTCTCTCTCATACTCCGAGTAAATGCTTCATAAAAAGTCCGATTATTATACATATGTCTGTTATTTTCTGTGACGCAAATATTCTTTTGGCTAATCTGTCGAAGTGTTGAAATTTTATTAATCGATTAAAGTTAATTAAATGGCAACAATCTATTAGGAAAGGAACCTTCAAATTAAAGCACATCGAAAACTCGAGATAAGAATTCGGATTGTATCAAGACCAAAACGATCGGATTTCAATGAATGTTTAAACAAAAAATCATAAATTGTTACTTGATTTTCCAATTTTTTTTTCTCCACACAAATCTTGATTGCAGTTATTTTTTGTGATTCAAAAATTCTTTTTACTATTTTGAATGTATATACAAAAATATCAATAGTTGAACTCACAAATAAACTGTTTCTCTTTAATACACTCCTTTTCCTGTAGGGCAGAGCAGAATGAGATAAAGATGCCCATATGAACAACTAATTATAAGACAATGTTACCAATTTTAAAAAATATATATGTATATATGTTCAATAAAAAAGGTAAATTAATGTTAAAAAAAAATGATAAACTATTTTGAATGCATGCTGAGTTCAATAACGACTATCAAAGTCGATGAAGTTTTTTAATTCATCTTCGTTAGTAGTTATTTTTATATGTTCACGTTCCTCAGGAGTTAATTCGGTACTGATGAGTTGTTCAGCGTTTTGTTTATTGCCCACAAACAACATGCATGCATTATTGAATCCAAGCATTCTAAGATTTTTAATGAAACGTGCACCTGCATTAGGAGCTGGTTGTTCATTACCGCGGTGCATATCAGTAACAATGCGAAATGTGTATCGATTTTTAAGAAGTTGTCCAAATGGTGATCGAAGAAATGAGAGTGCATTATTAGTGTTTGATTTTTGTATGAAACGTATGTTTTTCTTCATATCTTTTGTTTCGGCATAGATCATGTATCCTGTATTATTCCAATTGTCTTGAAATATTTGATCGTCAACCCATAAGATAGATGACGTTGATAAACCTAATTCTACTTGCCGCATATAAATTGTGTGCTGTGATCCATGATGAGAAACCACATGTTTTAAGACGAGAAATGTAGAATCCGGTAAAAACAATATTTCATCTTCATCGTCAAAATTTGAAAATGTATTAATTGGACGACCAGTTAATGAATAGATTCTAAAAAATGTATTTCGAGTAGAAAAATCAAAACTATCAAGAATTCTTTTGCCTTTAAATGTACCATTAAATTGACTCCATATAATTACTGAACCTGCTGTATAAAATTTCAGTTCTTCATCGGTCAGACGACAAGATCGTGACACATAACCTCGGTAATATGATATTTTCGAAATTCCTCTTAGTAGATAATTGCATATGATAAATGTTTCAATCGGTTCTTCTTCTTCTTTTTTATCGATTAATATTTTCTGAGTACGATATTGAATCTGTTTTCCATGGTCTCTACCTTGATCAATGACTCCACTTTTTGTGCCAGTATAAAAAGATATTGCTAATGATGCTGCTTTAGCTTCATCTTGTGATAAACCATGGTCTGTAAAATATGAACTAGTTTCGTCAACACGTTGACTATGCTCCGTCATCGCCCGATAAATATCAGCACCTCTTTTTGCTTCATTATTACGACAGATTTCTTGTAATTTTTCATATGATGCTTTATCTTTCATAAGATTGTAGAAAGCGGCATTGAAATAACTCTCGTATTTTGTAGGTGGACATAGTGTGTTTGTATCTTCTTCTTTAAAATTGCAATGCAATGTCATATGTTCTAATATCAACTCAATATCTTCGTTTTCCATCATTGGAATACTTGCAGCTGCTTCAAATCCATCTTCGGTTGGTTCTTGGAAGTTCAATTTCTTTATGAAGTTTTCCCATTCAGCATCGTTTTTTACTGAAGCTATTCGTGTCTTATAACAATTTTGTCCTGTAGGGTTGTTTAATACTTTGTTTTGACCATAAAGAGATATGTCGGTAATGTTTCTTGACATTCGTATAGGTTTATTTCTCTAAAATTAAACACTTTAATAAAAAAATATCATATATGAATGAACAATTTTAAAATACTCTCTTACATGAGGAGATCGATTTGAATACATTCAAAACTTAAAACACAAAAAAACACATTGTTCTTCGCCTGTTTACTACTAAAAGCACATCTTGTTGTAAGAGATAATTAATCTCACAACATGTTAGGTGTTCTTATCAAAAACACAGCTACTTTAAAAACTTGTTAAAACATACCATATTTTCCTGGCTGAAAACACAAAAATAAAAAACTATTTCTTTGTTTTTCTCCTTAGGTAAAATATGATTTCAATTCTTATGTTTAAATTGCTTATTCATGAATCGAATTTCGATGAATTCATATAAAATTTTTAAAATTTGTATACAGTCGGAACGTATTTGTTGTGGAATTCGTAGATGTTTTCAAACTGTATTATTTCCTATGAAAATAGAATTCAAGACGAAATGAAACATGATCATAACATTGAGTTTAAATAACGAAAACTAATGTTTTTTTTTACTGTGAAACAGACTCTTTTAATCATACTGATAAACTTCGATTATCTTTCTTTATTAATATATTATTTATTATTATTATTTGTTTATTTTTACCAATAACTTTCATTATTGCGTAATTTAAAGAAAAGTTCTTAATATTCAGTCACTGAAAGAAAGAAAAAAAAAACTTTTCTTGAAAATTATATTTGTTGCTAGGAGAGAACAACTCGAACATAAAAATAACGTTCTCCTTCGACTCCATGGTTAAATTTTATTCTTCTTCTCATTTAATCGAAATCAAGTAAAGAGAGTCACTGAAAATGAGAAATATAAAAACAACAAATATATTGTACTCTATTTGTATATATATTATGTAATGAATACAAAATAGAATGCTTTCAATAAAAAATTTTAAGTTATATCCATATGATATATTCAGTATCTATCTTAATACAACTTCTAAGACACAAAAATTTGAATCCAATAAGTTGCTCAATCGAATTCTTCCTTATATTCATGAGAGTGATCAGCTTAAATTTTATGTTGAGCAAATGATATATCAGAATTAAAGTGACTCGAACTTGATAATGATCAATACTAGAATAGTATCACGAAGTTAAAATAATATACTCGCTAGAAACAAGCTCAACATGACGCAGTATATCTCACATTTTTCTAGATCACATTTTGACCAGTCTAAATGTTTCAAACATAATCAGTTCTATAACAAAGACAAATCGATTCATGTCTTCAAAATGCTTTTTGGGTGTGGGTGTGAGTCTTGTTCTGTTCTTAAACGACACTCACATCCACACCCTCAAGATAAATCCACTAAACTAATTCAAAGGATTTTATTGAACGAACTTCAATACGACTTTCATTTTTATTATCATTATTAATTATTAATCCAAGATTATTTTCATTGGATTTCATATCACGTATAACTTCATTTTCTTTATCAACTATGAATGGTTGCCATCGTTTATTAAAATATATTGATGGAAATATATTATAGTTCAATAATAAAAGAATTTTCACTAAATATTGAAATAAATAAAGTTGTATCATAACAAGTTCCACATTCCCATGAATAATTCTTAATAGAATTGATTGAAGATAATTCTAATTCAATGAGTTTATCATTAAGAGTATAAATATTTTTTGGTGATATTATAATAAATCGTGAAAGTATATTTGACCAACAAATATCTTTGACTCCAATTTGTATAAATGATTTTTTTTTCTCAATAATTGTAAAAGATTGATCAATTAAATATAAATTTGATTTTTTTCAAACTACTAAAGATGTTTGATTTGTTTGATACAGAATACCAATATCAGATTGAAGTTTAATCATATGTGTTGGAACTTTGAAATCTACAAAAAACAAATTTTTGTTCGATTGATTTGTATTAAAATGAGATATTGAAGATGATGATAATAAATCAGAAAAAATTTCTTTTACTGGAGCTGAATGACATCTTAAATCAGATATTCGACTTGAATAATTAATTAAACAATTATCAATTTTTAATGGAGAAAATATTGATTTGACTTGTTCGAATTCGTCAATTTGTTGATGAATTGATTGAATTACATATTTAGTCTAATCCAAATCATCTTGTGAAGCATCATGATCACTAGTTAATCAATTTAAAATTTCTTTTGATCTATCAATATCTTCTTTTGTTCTTCTTATATATTCATCATGTCTTGACTTGTAAAATTTATCAATTGTATCTTAAACTTTATTTCTCCATTCTTTTAAATCATTTAAAAACTTCGATTCGTTTATATGAAATTGATTGACTCGATCAAATACTTGATGAATATCATCTGCTAAACATATTCGTTAATTTTTATTTTCATCATCGTCTTCTTGACAAGAGTTATATTGATTTGTGTTTGACTATGACATTTATTATAATCATCAAAACAAATGTAAATTTGGTATCGAATGTTTATTATTAAAAACGAAAAACTAGTTACATTTTATTTGAAAAGAATTTCAATGACGAAAAGGAATAAGAAATGATTTTTTCTCTTCGTCTATTGGAAGCCAAAAAAGAAACGAATAGAATAATTTCGTAGATTTTTTTTATTTATCAATGTTGCAAACCTGGATTATAAGAACAGAAAAAATATATAAATATAAACCATTACACAAAAACATAATGAGCCCATTGACTTGTTATACAGAGAAAATTATCGAACTAACATAAGATTTGCATAAAGCTATTCTAGTCAGACTAAAAAATATTCTTTATTTCTTGAGCATATAGAAACTCTTAATGTCTTTTCAATATTGATTTTATTGACGAGATTGATGAAGAAAAGATGATGATTTGCAATTATATTTTAACCTTAGATAAACAATGAAAAAATAGTTCTTTTAACAATAGAACAATATTTAGTTGTGAACTGATTGATTATCGAAGACAAATTTATCCTTCATGAATTTAATCATCATGTGTAACTAACTAAATTCCTTCGCATAGATTTATGTTTCGATGCTCGGTGTAAAA